TTCTGCTGCGTTCTGATGAAAAGTAGGTATTTTCCTAGCTTCTTTCTTCTCTGATTTCCAAGTCACTGAGAACAGTGGTGAGGTTGGACCAGGGGGCATAGAAACCCGGCAGCAGAAGGCAGTGTGCTGGGGGCATGCTGAATGGGTGTCGGAGAGAATGAACTCGGGGCAGAATGCTGTAGTTAGGAGGACTTGGAAGGGAACAAAGTTTGAACTGCTTTAGGGAAGCTGAGAGCCCTGCTAGAGCAGGAATGTACCAGATGCTTGTCTCAGATAGTATTCCGTAGTGAACCACACCCTGAAAGAATCAGATCATCCTCGCCTCTCCCACTTGGATCTGTAGCTTCTGGAGGAATTTGCCAATTCTTGAAATAAACTGAAATACAGATGAAGCTTCTGACCTCATTTAGATCATTTGTTCTGAATTCGGAATAGAACCAGGAAAATTGGGAAGGGGGTAAAATTGGGGTCGTAAGAGAAGGATCTTAGTTTTAGGAAAGAAGGAAGATAGTAGGAAACGAGACCAGTGAGTTAAGAGGCATTTGAAAAGGAGGATTAGAAAGAAAGAGAAAAAGAAGAGAAAGTTTTTGCTAGTATCTTCTGCTAAGATGTGTGACTGACACACAATTCATACCCCACACTTGAGTTGAAGTCAATAAATGAAAGGAAATTCGGAGTTGGAGGCCTATTCCTTGGAAGCTGCTACAGGATGGTAGTAAGGAAAGAGTGCTCTGTACTTGACAAGAGGGATGTTTCTATGTTTCTATGTTGCTTATTTTATAAAGAGGCAAAGGGGCTTATTTCTGAGCTTGCGAAGGAACTCTGCACTACCAAGTATAGGGCAAGTCTGACCAGACTGGCGAATGGTGTGGCACCAGTTTGAAGGGGAGGGCAGGAATTCATGTCTTGTGGATTAGTGCCACAAGACATGAGTTGGCTGAGACCACCCAAGAAGGTAAGCAGTGATGACTAGGGAAAAGAGACAAGGGAAAAACCACTACTCTCAAGGAAGAAGAGACTTTGAGGGACAATCAGAGGGATGGAGGTAAATCAAGTTCTACCAAGCAGAGAACAAACTCTAGGGAAAAGTTAATTCACTTGGAGAAGGAATCTGTTCCTATTGCCTTTGAGGACACTTTTAGACACCTTTGATATATTGAGTACTTTTTTATTGGTATTCATCATAAACAAGAGACCCACAAATATATCCCAGAGGTGAATTTTTGGTCTAATTGATCATGATTGCCATTAAATAATCTGTTAAAGGCCCACAAAATGGAACTTAGAAATACAGAAAAGCAAAAGACAACACAGGTCTTTGTGCAGAGTTCATACTTGAACTTCAACAACACGGAACAAGTAACTTTGTTAAAATGTACAATTAAAGAATTGATTGTACTTGAGGGTCCGTATGGATCATCCGGGATCTTGTTAAAATGTTGATTCTGGGGACGCCTGGGTGGCTCAGTTGGTTAAGCCTTCAGCTCAGGTCATGATCCCAGGGTCCTGGGATCGAGTCCTGCATCGGGCTCCCTGCTCAGCGGGGAGCCTGCTTCTCCCTCTGCCTGCTCCGCATGCCACTCCGCATGCCACTCCGCCTGCTTGTGTGTGCTCTCTCTCCCCCTCTCTCTTTCTCTCAGACAAATAAAATCTAAAAAAAAAAATTGTTTAAAAAAATGTTTATTCTGATTCATCAATCTGGGTGGGGCCTAAGACTCTGCATTTCTAACAAGCTCCAAAGGGATACTGGTGCTGTTGGTCCTCGAAGCACACTTTGGCTAACCAGGACCCACACAGGTACTCTTTGGGACGCCTTGGTAGCCGCGCGAAGTTAGACGTAGTTTAACTTATCCACACCTACCTACCAGTTTATAATGAAAGCAAGTCTCAGAACTAGCTCTTTCACAAAAGAACATTTATTAGCCACAGGGCACAGAACAGTCTTAAGGTGAATGCAAAAGGCAGAGTGGAGTCACAGCCCTGCCTTTGTGAGTGCTTGGCAGAGGAGCCTCACAATGCACACTAGCCTGGGCCCCTCTAACACAGTGGTTCTCGGAGTGTGGTCCCTGGACCAGCAGCATCAGAATCACCTGGAAACTTGTTAAGAGATGCACATTCTCAGACCCTCTCCAGATCTACGGAATAAGAAAATCTGGGAATCTGTTTTTTGGCTCGCAGCCCCACCCCGGTAATTCTGATGTATTCTCAAGTTTGAGAATCGCTGCTCTAACAGCAGGATGCTGTGGAGCATCTCACTGAATTCAGGCAACCAACAGTTCAATGAACTACAGGTGGACATTTTGGAATCCAGCCCAGGGCACCATTTCTGTAGGTGGAGAGCCTGATTGATTCTTCTCATATCCTCATAATCAAAGGGCAGGGACCGTGTCTAAACCCGTTTCAACAGTCCTCCTCTTTGGCAAACCACTAATATCACCAATGCAAACCTGTCTAACATTAATTAGGATAATTTATGAATCCCTTGGTGGAATTGGAGCTAAATATAGCTGAAGTACTTAGGATGGCCACCTCTGGGGTGAGGCTTTTCTGATGAATTACTAGCCAACCACCCCTAGAGCGTGCATGCCTGATTAAGACAGCTAACCACCTCTGCAGTGTAACTTAAGCTAACACACACACACACACACACACACGTCATATTATACTGTCCACGTGAGGGTTTACTTTAAACTCTTAAAATGTGCTTTATGAAGGCGTCATCACACAATAAAATGCATCCCTTTTAAGTGTATAGGTAGAGTTTTGACAAATGTATACACTCAAAAACCTCCACACCAATCAAGATATGTAACATTTCAATCACCTAAAAACCTTGTGTTTTTTTGAAGTCCGTTACCTACCCCGACCCCCCACTCCAGGCTGCCAACGTAGTGGTCTTCCGTCAGCGTAGGTGAGATTTCCCTGTTCTAGCTTTTCACATAAGTGGTGTCCACCAGTATTTCCTCTTCTCATCTCGCTGCTTTTACTCAGCACCATCAGTTCTGCGGGACGGTTGATGTTGTTGAATTATCAGTATTTAGTTCCTTTTCACTGCAGATGAGTGTCCCATGGTAGGACTCTGCCACAGTCTGTATTCCTTCTCCTGATGATTTGTTGCCAGGTTTTCGCTGTTAGGGATAAAGCTACTACTTTGGACATTCCCATACACATCTTTCTGTGCACATGTCTGTATTTCTTTGGGGTAAATCTCCAGGAGTGGAATATTTGGGTCCGAAGAGAGATGTATGTTTAGTTCCGTAGGAAGCTGCTGAACTGGTTTTCCAAAGTGGAAATACTGGTTTACGTTCCCACCGGCAGTGTGTGAAGAGTTCCAGTCGCTCCACATCCTTGCCAGCATTTAGTACTGTCCAGTTTTTTGGGTTTCTTTATTGTCAGGCTGGATATTTTCAAATACATGACAGACATTGTTTTTCTGTCCCCTAATTTCAATTGAGGTGTTTGCGTTAGGTCTCGGCAAAGGCCCTACAGCTAATGATGTTGACCCGGGCAACTTGGATACGCATGACCTCATTTCTCTTTCCTGAGCCCCGGTCAGAATTGGTTTTGTGGCTGCCATGTGATTGTGGCAGTTGGACGTTTGCCAGTGTGTTTTGTTCTCTCTCTCTCTCATTCGTCTGCTCATTTATTCATTCCGTCTGTCGGTTGTTCAATAGCTGTAGTAGACTTGCTTTTTCAGAGAGCAGTTGTCTATTAAGTCCCTGGGAAGAAGTAGGAGACAGAGTACTTGTCCTCAAGGAGCTTTTTGGAACTGGGTTCCTGAAACCCAGCTCCACAGACATGCCAGCAAAGACAGAAAGCCCAGTGTATTTCAAGGCTTGCACACACTTGAGTAAGGGCATCATGGAAGTAAAGCTCTGGGCTGGGTCAGGCGAGTGGGGGGCTTGATAGACAGGTGGCTTAGAAACCGCAGTAGCAGAGATTGTTGAGACGTTCATCTGTGCTGAATAGTAGAATGGTGGCACCTTAGAATATAAACTAAATGTTTATTTTACTCCTGATTGCATTTTAAAATACATCTCACGCGCGCAGACACACACATACGTTGGATAAGAAATTCTCAAAACGTTAACGGTGCCTCTCTTTGGGTCATGGGATTATGGGTGATTTGTCTACTGGATTTTATATTTTTCTTTGATTTCAGAGTTTGCCACAGTGAGCGTGTGTAACTTTTACAATCAGAAAAAAATATTAAATGGGTGGTGGGTGTTAAGGAGGGCTCGTGTTGTGATGAGCACCGGGTGTCGTATGTAAGTGATAAAGCACTAAATTCTGTACCTGAAACTAATATTGCACTGTTTGCTAACTAACTGGAATTTGAAGAAAAACTTGGGAAAAAACACGAATATCATCAGCGAAATAAATCCAAGACTAATTCCTTAAAGCCTAGAGCTCTTCCACTGTGATTTTAAATTACACAAACATGCTTTTCATGCACCTGAGATCTTTGTCTTAAACTTTTATCTTTTTTAGAAGGCCTCCTGTATTTTCATTGATGAAATGTTCTTTTCAATAAGAAAGTCATCTCTACTTTAAAAAAACAAACCCCAGACCCCCCAAAAGTATGATATTGCCGCTTGATTGTTTGCTAAGTTCTAATAGCTATTTCAAAAATAACCTTCCTTGTTCTCTTGAATCTTGTGTAGCAAAGATCCTCTCCAGTAGAACCGAGGTTATTGTCTAGAAGAAAAAAAAAAATGCCTGTCTGTCTCTTCCCTTTCAGGAACAAGGAACATGGATGCCCAGTGTAGTCATTCATAGAATTTAGCTTGCGTGATCATCAGACAGCAAAGAGACTTTTTGTTTGTTTGCTTGTTTTTGCTTTTTCCCCAAATTGGCAGAATTTTCACCTCCCCAAAGTGTGGGGCATATGTACAAGAGATTTTCCTAAGTTACTGTTGTTGTTGTTTCCAAAACAGTGGGAGTTTTGTGCTTTCTGATGAAATAACAAATGATCTTTGTTTTGTCCCTTTTTTCCTCAGCTGACCTGAATAATGTCAGGTTCTCAGCTTATAGGACTGCCATGAAACTCCGAAGACTGCAGAAGGCCCTTTGCTGTGAGTATTAACTGGTGCCTGAAACACATGATGGTTCCTCTTGGCTTTAAAAAAAAACAAAAAAAAAAAAGTGGGTCCAGGGGTATTTCCGCTTGGAGAGGGGAGAAATAGCTCTCGCAAGTCCAGCTGTAACATAGAATTCCCTTTTTAAAAATCTCTTTGGCCTCGTGTGCCCTAAACTGTTTTGTTAGACTGTTTAGAATCTCTCCTGTCACCATTCCTCAGCTACTGATGTTGAATTGATAAGATATTGATAATTTATATTTTCCAACTAAGGGCACTGGCATCCAGAGTTACCTTTATGAAACTTGAAATCTTTCCCCCTCTCCTACTTTTATTTCTTCTTCTAAAATGTATTTAATGGTAGAAGACTACATCTGCCTTAGCCAAACCACATTGCGCAGGTGTGAGTAGGTTATTAGCTTGAATGCCAGGGTACGGATGGATGCCGTGATGGAGGACAGATGACAGGTTAGTTTCTCTGCTTTTGCTCATTATCATACAGCAGTGGGGAAATCCGGAAGTGTCCTGTAGTTCCATGTCTTCATCTCATGGTTTATGTCTAGCCATCCATTATCATCACAGTTAATTAGAACACGTTGTTTGAAGGCCTGTGTGCACTGATGATAGAGCCATGAAACAGACAGGCATTGCTCCAGTCCCTACCCTGATGGCACTTGTAGTCTAATGAGGGAGATTGAGGGTGTCCATAAAGTCTGGAGACGTAGGTGAATGTATATAAGATCATTGCGAATGTGCACAGTCTGTTAAAAAAGAGAAATCAAGTGATACCGTGTCTTTGCCACACTTGATGGGCACCTGGAGGAAAAGTGAAGAGATGGTTTCAAACGCCTATATTTAGCCGTGTGACAGTGGAAGAATGGGGTCTATGAGAACAGCTAGTTGTGGGGGTGAGGTTCAGAGAGGCTTTGCTGGAAGAGGTGGTACCTAAGCTCTGTGCGTCCCGAAGGGTTAGTAGAGCTCACTCTAGGAGGAGTGTTCTAGTCAGAAGGAAGAGCGCGTGCTGATGCCTTCAGGAACTGAAAGTGCTCGAGCACAGCTGGAGCCCGGAGTCCCAAGGAGGGGCCGCAGTGCAACATTTGGCTGCAGAGAGAAGTGGGAGGCGGATTGTAAAAGGTTTTTCAGATTTATGTCAAGAATTGAGAGGTCAGTGGGGAGCCACGCAAGGGGGTGACACAATGGGATTTTCCTTGAGAAAGGCCATCATGGCCGTGCAATAGAGTATAGATTGAGGGCGGGGGTTGTGCAGCCGACGAGAGAGACTGGTGGAGCAGTTCTGGGCACCAGGGGAAAGGAGAGAATTGGAGACAACTGAGGCACACGTAAGAGGTGACAATGACAGGCCTTAGTGATGAACTTGATGGGGTGGGTGAGGGGAACTCAAGAGAAGCTATGAGGTGCTCGCTTGGGGGAACGGTGCACTTGCCTGGGAGAGGTGGACGTGAAGCTGTGATGCTCAGGAGAAATAGACAATATTTAGGACTCTTCAGCATGTAGAGGCTCAGGGAGAGCGTGCAGAGGAAGAAGAGAGTATGTAGGCTGTACAGAGGGAATTGCCAAGAAGTGGCCAGAGCGGGAGAAGGAAGATACCAAGAACTCTAGTGCCATGTACTGCGTGGGCGAAAAGAAGTGGCCGGCCACCAGGGGCAGGTGGGCGGGGAGGTCAGCATGGAGTTGGTGCAAGTGCCCATTGGATTTAGCAACAAGGAGGTCCTTACTAACTTCAGTGAGATTCTCAGAAGCACGGTGGAGATGGTGAGGTGGGCTTAAAAGTAAATCGGAAGCGGATATAAAGATCATACTGCCTGGTCGGTATGGCCAGTTCTTGGAGAAATTTAGTCTGAAAGTGGGGGGGGGACGGGAAAGGAGGGTGGCAGTTGGCTGCCATGGACAGAAGCATTAATGAAGTATACATACTTATAAGTTGAGAGACACTTGAGTCCATTTAAATGAAGACGAGAAGACGAGAGAACAAGATAATAAAAAATGGGACTTCTCAGAGCGTAGGGGAGGTAATCTAGGAGCCAAAAGAAGGCAGGGGCACCTCTCTTCCACTGTAATGGGGGGAGGGGGCGAGGCCGGGATCTGTGCAGGTCCTGGTAGCTAAGGAGATCTAGGGGCCGGAGGGTGCAGGAAGCCATGTGGAGGTTTGTTTTCTGTGTGGAGATAGAGTTACTCTGCCGCAGTTGGGAGTGGAGGGTGATAGGGTTGTGAGTGGGTTCACCTTTCTGGAGAAGAAGAGAGAAGAGGGCTGATGTGAGCAGGAGCCCAGTCTGCTCGGTGTTCTGTAGCAGTACCAAGCTGTGCGGGTGTGGGATTGCTCCGGGCTCACTCAGTACTCAGGAGCCGGATGGGCCCATCGCAGGTGGGCACATGACAGCTGGGCCAGAGAGAGGGGGATTTGGGCAAAAGAGTGGGTAAATGGTTGAAGTGCTGTCTGTCAAGGCCACGTTGTCACGTGGAAGATGGTAGTCAGGAGGTAGAGGGATCAAGGGGCTGACTGTTGAGGGAGGCATAGGAAGAGGTGGTGTGGAAGTAACTGGAAGACTGGCAAGTTGTGGTCAGAGAATAGCATAGCTAAACATTGTTTCATGAGTGGAACAGGTCCAGGTGACTGCGTCTTGGCTATGACCATTTGAGTGGGTGGTGAAGATGTGAACTTGCATGGAGATGAAACAGGAAGTTAGGGGAGTGAGTCAAGAGTGATGCCCCAGTCATCCCTGCCCATGTTGAAAACATCCAGAATTGGGGCCAGAACCAGGCAAGAGAGAACTGTGAACCTGGGCTGCCAAGCCTTTGGAAATGAAGGTGCCTGACCAGAGGTCTGCAGAGGCTAACAGGCAGTCAAGGACGGTTGCTGGCTTGTGGCTTTTTACCCAGAGAGGGAGAAGAAATGTTCCCAGAAGTGAAATTACTTGGGAGGAGAGAGTCAGCTCTTCCTCTTTACCTGGGCCTCTCCAGTCCTTAGCCCAAAGCCCAGCACATGGTAGGTAGGGTTTCATATGTTTCCATGGAATGGATGCATGAGCAAAAGTAAATTGAGGCTTCCATTTCTTTACAGCTTATAGTCTGAAGCTGTGGTTTTTTCAGCTGTATAGCTGCCAAGTTTAAGTGGTTTTTAAAGGTCTCCCCAGACCTGGGATTTCCTCAGGGACCTGTTAATGTACCGTAGCTGGAAAGAGGCCCATTGGGGTAGGGCGGAGTCGGAGAGCTGGACAGAGAAAGTCTTCTGCCTCTTTTTCTTCTCTTGGCCCTGCCCCATCCCAGAGATAATGCTTTCCGTCGATAAAGGGATAATTATGAACCTGTTACTGTAAAGCATTATTAGAATAGGGTATCATCCTGTGAGATCCTAAAAGTTCAAAAGAGATAATCAGCTGTTTCAGGTTATACTTTGAAAAAGCCCAGAAATAGACAAAATGGAAAACCTTCTGGTGACTGTCCTTTTCTGTAATGTTGCTTTGTCCCTTGGATTTAGGCATTACCCACTGTTCCTGTTAAAAAATAATTCTGTTCACAAATATGTCTCATTTTATCATTTCAGTTTATGTTAAAATTTCCAATAAATGTTGGGAAAATGGGGGAATTTGGTATTACAAAAAAGTTTGGCCGTTTGAGTTTATATCCTTGGAGTAGAGTTAAGCTCTGAGGGTAGGATGTAGAATTTCCACTTTGAAACAGATTTGAAATTCTCAGCCTTTGCTTCCTGAGCATGACTTTTCTCCCATTTGAAAAAGATTTAGGTATAGCCAAATTAGGGTGTGTATTTACCTAAATTACATACTGGATTCTCAAGAATGGCAGGAGAGTTCAACATGTCGTATGATTACAGAATGAAGACTTTGCCAGGCCCTTTATTCTTGAAAACATGTGTGGTCACATTACTTAACTAACCATTCAGTAGATGATTTACAACTTTCCTCTTAATTTGATGTTTGCTTAGGTTTATCTTCTGGCCTTTCTGTCATTTCGGTGCCTGCAAAGCCATGATCAAGAGCTATTGTCTGTGGTACAGGCAAATAAAACTTGGCCTGGCTAGCTCTTCCAACTGAAGGTCGCTTCTACCAACCTTGGCTTTAATGAAAACTAATGATGTTACCTCAGTGATGTCCTCATGCCAGGGAAGAGTTTGAATTGCTGATGTTTTAGGAAATAGGCAGCGTTCCTGCCATTAACGCTTTTGGTCATCTTTTTGCACTTTGCTATCAAAGCTTCAATATTGCAGAAACCCGAATAACACAATTTTATCCACTATCGAGAATTTGCTATTTAAGTTGTGAGCTTCACCATTGGTCTGTAATGTCCCCAGTTTGTAATCGGTTTAATGTTGCATGACTCCATACTGCCTTTCAACGCACTGTGAGTGAAAATGAAACTCGGCAGAAAAGCAGAGACAAAGAGAAAATCTTGGTAAGAGGGATTTGTAAACTGCTTCCTACGGCTGATACCCCGCCCCCGAGAGTTAGGAGGCATGTAATCTAAGCTTTTTCTTTGTCAGTCTCTGGTTCTGATGACATCCTAAAGGTGTGTGGCTTCTACAATTAAAAATTTAGCCAACTTCTAAGAGCAGATATAAAAATGCACTTAACAAAGCATATGTATTTAGTTTATTAGCACGTGGTGGGTTGGAGAGAGCCCAAACCATAGGGCTAAAGGTACTGCATTTGATAAAGGTGACAGATACTTTGCAAACAAGAAATAGTGATCAGTTTGCTTCCGTTCACCAACTGAATCGCATAGTAGAGAGATTTTGTACAGCCTGAAGTTACCTGAATAAAGTCACGGCTGCCCGACTCACCCTCACTACAGAGCAGGTGAAAGACTTGCTCCCTTCTTGGTGAAACCACCTCACCTTTTGAGAGGGCACCGAGGGTGGCCTTTGACAGGGTTCCGTGGCTAATGAAGACTTCCAGGATCCACGACAGCACAGCTTACACGTCTTCGGTCTAGTGCAGGGAAAGGCCCCAGTGAGGCCCCAG